CTAACACTGTGTTGTGAAGCCCTCTGCTGGTGAAGAGACCACAATGCAACCCAAATACTATAAGCATGTCAGTCAGCAGCACTGTTGAATTTATAGTGAGTTATTTATATTTCAATATCCACATTTGAAAGCATTGTACCTCATTATTTTTGTATTTCATTCAATAAGCATGTCATTCTTTGGAGGTACATTTGTGTCAAAGTGATTTGTATGAACAGATCATCAATCCGTGTCTGAATTGTAATTTGTACATCACAACACAATCAACTGAATGGCTTAGGGTTAGTTCAGGTTGGCAGTAATCATAGACTTTATAAATAGTGACCAGACTGCATGCTCTCATTTTGAAATAAGAAAACCATGTCAAAGGGAGGCCATCGTGGGCTTTTGAAAAATGGCCGCAATTATTTTTTTTCTTTTTTCGTTGAGATCCGTTTTATATTTGCAAAATCATTATAAGCATCCATATATTTGTTGCATTTGTGGAAGGTGTCTTAGATTCAAAGATTTCAGTTTTGGTCTGTTCATACAAATATTAAAAGGATAGCCTACCTCTATATAATGATGGCAACATTTGATCATCTTTAATCAACTTTTTTCTTTGTGTCAGTGCTCACTCAGGACCAGACCCCCTCAAGTTCAACCAACAAATCGTGCCTGGTTCCGTAGGAGGCCCGTCCACCATCGGCTGGCTGGCGCCCAGCGGAGCAACTATGACCTGCGGGGAGCGGATCTGCATCGGCAGCATGACCGCTCTGGAAACCGCCGTCTACCAGCAGGTGCCCACTGACGAGGCCGAGGCCCAGATGTTGGCCAGCGCCGACCTGGATGACATGAAAAGTAAGAAGCATCATAAATGAAGGCTTTCATTTAAGCTATACTGTCTTTTTGTACTACTCACATTAGCATATAGTTGGATAAATAGCCAAATCACCAAGACAATTGATGTGTTTTGTGTCACAGACTGGTATTTATTAGGGCTGTCAAGTTAACGCGTTATTAACGCGTTAACGCAAAAAAAAATTAACGCCACTAATTATTTTAACGCGATTAACGCATGTGTATTTTTTGTCCTCGGCCGCCGTAGTTTCAGAGCGCATCGAGTGTAAAATACCATCGACAAGCTGATGCTGACAGCCCTGCTCCTGCCGCCCGCTTGTGGCAGACCACACTTCCACGCTCACCGGCAGGCCCGGACTGGCCATCGGGAGGACCGGGAGGGTGTGTGTATGTGTGTATGTGTTGCGCGACTCGCGCGAGCGAGGCACACCTTACGTGTTGTTGTTGTTAGCATCTGGTGCTAGCTAGCTGCGCTAACGGATATAAGGAGCTGTTTCAATGACATTTCGCCGACAAACTGCGCCGAGCACTTGACTTTATGCAGGTAGCCAGACAGTGGGACATTGTACGAAAAGTCAGCACACTCAGACACGGATAGTACGCGCAACATGATTGCAGCGTCCAGGCAGCTCCTCATGTCGAGCATATATGCCTTGAGCTCCAACGAGCCAGCACAGTGGCTCCCCACACACACACCCACACACACACACACACACAACACACACACACACACACACACACACACACACACACCACACACACAACACACACACACACACACACACACACACACACAACACACATCACACACACACACACACACACACACACACACATCACACACACACACACACACACACACACACACACCACACACACAACACACACACACACACACACACACACACACACACACACACACACACACACACACACACACACACACACACACACACACACACCACACACACACACACACAACACTGGATTATTGTATGAGAGAGGTTCCAGGTTGAATTGAGGCGAATATTTGTAATGTTCAGGTTGTTGTTGTTTTAATATTCATGAGAATATTTGTCATTGTTTCAAATGATAATAAACAAACATATAAAGCATATTTGTCCACTCATATGTTGATAAGAGTATTAAAAACTTGAAAGATATCCCTCTAAGGTACATTTAGAACAGATAAAAATGTGCGATTAATTTTGCGATTAATCGCGATTAATTGCGATTAATCGCAATTAACTATGGACAATCATGCGATTAATCGCGATTAAATATTTTAATCGACTGACAGCCCTAGTATTTATATCAAGCTTCAGTGCATCATAGCATGACATCTTCCATTGAACATTGACTTCGAGATGAGCAAACCAGAAGTGCCGAAATGCTAACTAATTTCCGGGTTGTATAACTCCTTTCTGCACCGCTTTATTGGTGGTGTATTTGACAAACAAATATGTTGTTTTTCAGGGATTTACGGATTATGATAGTCTGCAAATATAATGTAGGATTACATCTGAGTCAGTTGCTATGTGGAAGTACATGTAATTCTGACTCTCTGGGCCACTTTACTGCTACCAGTTTACTGAAAAACTACCTTTTTATTTTCTTATTGCTATCAAGAAATCAAGGCTTTTGAGTGTGGAAGTGGAAGGTGATTTCAACTCATGCTAAATGTACTGTCTGAGATGACTAGTTCTACTTTTTCACCCACGCCACGACAACTGTGTGGGGGAAGTTTGCAAGGTACCTTTTTTCTAGCGCCACTGTGCTCTTCCTCTTCCATCAGACCTTCGTGATCACACCTGCTGTTGCTGCTAGGGTATTTATGATATCATTACCAAGTCCCTATAGCAGTTTAAGTCATTCATTAAACATTCTCAATGTTCTCATTGTGTTAAGCCAACCCACTGTTGATTTACTTTCCCACATCTCATTGGCTCACATCCTGTTTGTATTATTAATGAATTGGTCCTTAATTGAAATTGGTTGGCTAGTCTGTAAGTATTTCTCTTGGTTAATGCTACACTGAAATTAGGATACCATCTTAAAGGGAGAATGGCAAATATTTAAGATTTAAAGGTTACAGCTTAATGTTAGTAGTGTAGTGTTAGTCAAATAAATGGAGATTAGCCTTATATGTAAGTAGGTAAATGAGTAAATGTGAGGTATGAATAAAATAAATTGTGTTTTATGTTATCTTCTGACGAAGAAAGAAAGAAAGAAAGGACCTAACAATTTGAGTTGGCATTGATCTGAATATAAATGACTTCACACTTGTGGCTCTTTGGATCCACTGGACAGCACAGAAAGTTACTTTGTCGGTCTACCTAACAGAGAGAGTGCCATTATCTTGACTTTTTATTGTGGAAGACAGAATCCCGCTGCTTTGATTACAATATAAATGCTTAGTTACAGTCTTATTTTTTCCGTCATAGTAACAACATCACACAGTCTCTCTCAGAATATTGCAGTTTGGTTTTAAGGCTGGATTCATGATTTTTATAAAGCGTTCAGCAGCCTCTACTGGCAGCAAAATATACGTCTGCCTGTAGAACACATTCATCGGTTTTTATAAATTCTGGCTGATTTCATGTAACAGTTTAAACGTTTGTCTTTTTAAATATCAGTCAATGACACATGAATATTGGTAAATGTATTTTTAAAAATACATAGTTGGAGTTTTTGGTTAATCCTTTTCCATGACTGATTATGACTCAGCATCTTTGTCTCCAAAACAGGAAATAGCTTTAGCTGGTAGAAACAGTTTTCCTTAATTAAGAACTTATAAAAACAGACTTTTAAAGTTTGCTTGTGTTATTTGTGCATACTGTGCATTATCTATTCCAATGTCTTAAACAGGACATTATTAACACAAAACACTTTCTCGTACAATGGGTAACACAAAGTTAATACAACAAACCTTACCAGAGCTAAAGTAGGTCATTTGCATTTCTTAACCCTTCTCTTGCGTTAGGTCATACCCCCCCTTCCCATACTATTTTCGGTCAAAATTGACCGGTGTGTTTTGCACAGTGATATCTCTGGAACCCCTTATCCCATTTTGATGGTTGTCATCTCATTTGAACAGTCAAAGCAAGTAGAATCAAGGGGTGACAGACAGAATGACACCAGGGGTGAATTGCATGTTATAATATTGCAGTAAGTTCAAAGATAGTGCTTACTGTACATTACTTTATATTATAAAAATGCTTGCCATGTAGGCTGTGTTTACTGGAGATGGAAATGATTTAGTTACATACAATGATGTATGGGATGTATTGATTTGATACAAGCAAGTCAGTGTTTTATTGTGTACTTTCAACTACAGTATATGGTCCGGACCCACCGGTGGGCCCATCAAGTTTAGCATTCACTGCATTCACTGTGATGAATATAAAATAAGACACTGATACTGTTTTCCTCAATGAACATTTAGAGACAAATAAATATTCAGGGCTCCTCTCCCTCAGGGGCCTCTCCCTCAGGGGGCCTCTCCCTCAGGGCTCCTCTCCCTCAGGGGCCTCTCCCTCAGTGGCCTCTCCCTCAGGGGCCTCTCCCTCAGTGGTCTCTCCCTCAGGGGTCTCTTCCGGGTCTATTGACTGTTGGTCAGGCTCATAGTCTGGATCACTGTTGTCTTCCATTTCTGAGACACCGTCCTCTATCTCTGGTTCAATGTCCTCTTCATCTGTTTCAAAACATTTGTCCCGAGCCTCTCTGACAGAAAATCGCCTAATCGGTCGCCTACTCATTGTGTCACTGAGTCAAATGTGAGCAAGGCACAAATATAACTGCATGAGAGACAGTAAGGGAGGGGCATTTAGCGCAAGAAAGTGAGAGGTTTTTCTTTCTCGAGGGGCACAGAGCTCGCACCTGTGAGAAGGTAGGATACATTGTATCATACAGCGCGAGAAAGTGAGAGGTTCCCGTAACTTAGAGTAAATTGTTTTGTCTGGAAGGTGTGGGGGTACATACGCACAGAAGTGTGTGTGTGTGTGTGTGTGTGTGTGTGTGTGTGTCGTGTGTGGTGTGCTGGTGTGTGTGTGTGTGTGTGGTGTGTGTGAATCGTTGTGTGTGGTGTGTGTGTGTGGTGTGTGTGTGGTGTGTGTGTGTGGTGTGTTGTGTGTGTGTGTGTGGTGTGTGTGTGTGTGTGTGGATGTGTGTGTGTGTGTGTGTGGTGTGTGTGTGTGTGGTGTGTGTGTGTGTGTGTATAACGCAAGAGAAGGAAATGTAACATCTGAAAAAAAACCTGTGTTCACATTATTATTCAAAATATCCTTTATCTGGATTTTGACAAAAAGTGTGTACTCTAGAATAGGTTTACCTAAAAGCCTGTTTTATTCAGGATTCTGGTATAGTAACTTGGCTTGCCTGTTTGAAATAGTGGGTCCTGTAAAGCCGGTATTGCCTCCCCTGCTGATCTGGTGCTGACCAGTGACATGTTTCTCACTGCTGCCTGTAACTTGGCTCCACTGTGGGCATCCCACACATTCTGTCCTCCTGACACCAACCTACACAGCCCCCACATGCACTGATAGCAACAAGCATCCAACAAATAACACAAAAGATGGAGGACAGAGAAATCTCGATATATACTCTGATTCTCTGTGAATAATCATACTTACAATGACAGTAATAGCTATTGAAAATGTCCCACACCTCTCACGTATCCAGGGCAGAATCCTCTCTTCCAGCATCCAGGGCATTGACTCCCATCGATTCCCCTTCAGCTGCCACCCTGCCCTCTGGCCTTTCCCTGCTTCACCACAGCAGAGTAATCATTGACTGCTCACAAACCTGGAAACAGCAAATGGGGCAGGGGCACCCAGAGTCATTCAAAATCAGCTATTGGATTTGTAGAGAGCGATGCCTTGCATTGACAGGCCATGTTTAACACAGCTGTATTTCAGAGAGGACCACTTAATATACAAAAACAATATTTTCATTGCATAAAGTAATGTTGCCGGTACGGATCTGTTCCGGGAAATGCGTAG